GGATTTGTTGAAATTAGTGTATTCTTTAATAAAATTAACACACGCTGGTATCAGAGACTTTCCGCCTCACTTTTTTTTTTCATTTCTTAGCCTTTTTATAATAATCATTAACAGTTTCCCGAGTGTTTCTGTTTTTTATCCGGTGCTTGCCGTTTTTGGGGATAGGTCGCTCACCATTTTGTTGGAGTTAGAAAAAAATGGTTTGTTAGTTGAAAGGATGGTGAGACATTGCAGAAGTTCTTCATAAAAAGGAAAATTAACAAGGGGATTATAACAGAGATAAATGAAAATTATGTAAAAACGAGGGAAAGAAATTTGATTTTCTAGTGAAAATTGCGAAAATAAATCTGTAGAGAAATGCTTCGGCCAATGAAATCGTATAAATTCCTTTCCAATATCAGAATTGGATTTCGTCAGCACGACGCATTTGGATTAGTAAAAAATAAATGAGGAAAAAGTGAAATATGAACATAGTAAAAGAACAATGAAAGGAATTAAAAGGGACTTCACGTAGGCATGAAATTTTTAAGAATTTTTACCTCAGCCATTTTTGCTGTAATTTGTGTAGTTTTTCAGGAAGTGTTGGATGAAAATGCTTTTTTGAATGTTGTTTTTATTTACCTTCCATTTCTGAGAGGCTTTCTAGCCAGACAATTAAGATTCACAAGGGAGCCCTTAGTGGAACAGTAAACTTGATCATTCTCCCAGATATTGTGGTCAACCTTTCCTTGTTAACACGGTTCAAAAGAAATGATTTCAGATCTACCGCTCATTTAAACTTTGCTGCCATAACAATTAAGCTGCTTATCCCTGAACAGGTTATGATGAAAGGGTCGTGGCGGATGAGCTTATTCTATGCTGCTTGTACTCTCCTCCCTCAAGTTTGTCATAACTTTGATTATTACGATTCAAATTTTTCCTCCGATTTTTTACATTAAAAAAATAATTGACAATGCACGGGCTGCCCGTGCGAAGATGCTTTTTTTGCATAGCTTCTCGCAGTTTTTGTCGCTACCGGCATCGGTTCTTTGGCAAATCCTTCTAGCTAAACAAATTACGACTGGCCGCCAAAACTGGCAGGAAACATCCCCTTAAAATTTCAGCTCTTTGGCTTTCTTGGCTCCTGAGTTAGCAATTTACTGGAAAAAATTTTTCACGAGCCCGCACTCGGGTACCACGTACACCCGATGTCTGGGTTTAAGCTCGTTGACACTTACTTGA